TGTACTGATTACAGAGATGGAAGGAAGCATAGAGACAGCACGAGGCAAGGGTTCTGGGATTGCTTTACCCCCTGGAAGATGTGGTGGCAAGAAAGGATAAGGTGCGACCCATCCTGTCCTGACTCTCGTCTGAGAATAGGGCACTGACTTTCTTGCCTGAGCAATACTGGTCCCCAGCTGTCATGGCTTCCTTGGGTGAAGGAAAGATGGAGGGGAGCTCATTCGTGGCAGAACTTTCTCAAGCTAAAAACCCAAATCTCATCTAATCACCTCTGTCTTAACTCACTTAGGATACTGAGGGGACAGCCTCTCTATTCTTAAAAAAAAAAGAAAAAACCCATAAACAAACAAACAAACAAATGAAACACACTTTTTCAACCAAGGATGAATTTATTGAATGTTACAGGTCTATGTGTGCTCTCTATTTCTTCTGGAGTCAGTATGGGATGTCATCTTTTCCTCGGAAGTTGTCCATTTCAAATCTATTGACATAAAATTGTTCATAATTCCCCCCTATTATTTTTTAACCTCTACAATATCTGCAGTTGTACCTTTTTAAATTCTTCCTGTTGTTTATTTGTAACTTCTCTATTATTTTCTTGATGAATCTTGCTAGAGGTTTGTCTATTTTACTATCTTTATCAAAGAATGAATTCCCCTCTTTTCCTTTCACCCACTTGTATTTTTGTTTTCTAGTTTACTCATTTCTATTCTTATCTTTATAATATCCTTTATTCGTTTTTCCTTTTTTTAGGGGGGGGGAGGCAGCTGGCCAGTATGGGGATCCAAACCCTTGACCTTGGTGTTATAACACCGCTTTCTAACCAAGTGAGTTAATTGGTCAGCTCCCCTTTCTTTATTTTTTTGAGTGAGGGTTATTCTTTTGTTCTTTCACCAACTTTTAAATGTGTATGCTCATTTAGGGCTATGCATTTTCCTCTTAGCACTGCTTTAGCTGCACCCCATGTATTTTGATGCATATTATCATCCTTATCATTTGGTCCTTAGGTCTTTTCTAATTTATATTATAAATTCTTCCTTATACAATGAGTTATTTAGAGGAGGGCTTTTCGGTAGGGAAATTTATTCTCTTCTCTGGTTGCTATATGTGTGGCTTACCTTCTGGAAAGGGGCCCTAGATCCTTAGACATCTTTCTGGAGAACAAAGCACATAATCCCACTGCTTTCCATAAGAAAAATGAATCTATAGCAGGTCCAAGAGTCTCAGGCCTTATGATGGGGATTTGTCCAAAAGTTCCCCATAAAATCCTCTGGTCCCACATCCTTACTTCCTATATTCCACTCGCCTCTGCCTTGGGAGTGGAGATGTGGACAGACACCTGCCTCATGCCCACCCTCATTCCCTGATTTGAATATTCCAGTCTACATCTGAGTGCTCTGAGTCAAGACCACATTTACAGATTGAGGTTGGTGGGAAAGGTGGGATCTCCAGCCTGGCTTCCAGAACCATAAATGAAACGATCATTATTCTGTTTCTGAAGTGCAATCTGGTGATCCCTTGGTCATGTGACTCATGTCATCCTTCCAACCACCCTATGAGCTGGGTAATTGTCTCCCCATTTTACAATGAGGGAACTGAGATCAGAGAGTGGAGTGGCTCAAAGTTACAGGGAGGAAGAGGGTTGTAATTCAGGGATCCTCAGGCTCCCAGGTCCCTGGCTGTCCTGTCTTCTGTAAGCATCACTGCCTGAGTTTGGCATTTCCATTCCCAATCCTGGGGGTCCAGCCTTGAATGAAGCCCCCCACACCAATGCAGAGATGGGATCTGGAAACCAGGAAGACATGGGTGGGTTCAAATCCCAGCCCCGTCATAGACTTGCCAGGTGACCTTGGATGAGTGACCTCCCCTCTCTGGCCTTGAGTTCCCAGCCTGTAAAGTGGGGCATCCTAGGGAGATGTCAGTTGAGCCCATTGGTGACAGACATATTCTGAACATGACCATGTAATTGTCCCTGCAGAATGTCAGCCTGCACTGCCCAGAATCAGGAGTTGCAGAGAAAAGTCTTGCATCTCGAGAAGCAAAATCTGTGAGTCTGGATCCAGCTGGGGCAGAGGATGGGGGGGCAGCCCCAGAGTCCCTTGAAGGAGCAGAAGGGCAGAAAGCCTGTGTGGTGGCAGGAGAGGGCAGGGAATAAGGGCTCCACCTATAAAGGGGGCTGGTTGCATAGATGAGGGGATTTGGACTTGGGGCCTCAAAGGATGTGTAGGAGTTCGCTAAGGAGAAGGTGCTCCCTCAGGAGGCTAAGAGCATGATGCTTTGGAGAACTGCTCCTGCTTCTATCTATGGAGAGCATCCATCCAGTCAATATTTATTTAGTATCTACTCTGCACCAGGTGTAGTTCTGGGCACCGAGACTACAACAGGGAGCAAAACACAAGAAAACAGACACAGTTTCTCCACTTAGAACTCATGGTCTAGTGGGAGACAAAATATAGAAAAGATCATTCAAATAGCCATAGACACTGGGAATAAAAATGAATCAGGATAAAGTGCTAGAAAGTGGTGAGGGGTCTCTTTTGACAGAGAGGTCAGAGAAGGTTTCTCCGAGGAGGTGACATTTGAGGTGAGACCTGATGAATGAGAAAGAACGATCTACAAAAATACCTGGGGGAACAGTGTCTTTGGCACAGAGGGCACAGCATGTGCAAAGGTCCTGAGGCAGGACTCTGCCTGGCATGTTGGAGAAACAGTGAGGAGGCCTGTGTGGCTGGAGCAGAGAGGGTGAGGGAGAGAGGGAGGGGACAGGGCAGGTCGTGCAGGGCCTTGTGGGCCACAGGGAGGACTTGGGCTTTTATCTCAAGTGAGGTGGGAGTCCTGGGAAGGTTGGGAGAGGCTGATTCATATTTGAAAAGTGCCCTCTGGCTGTTGTGTGCAGCATGAACCCAAGGGGGGACAGGAGAGGCCTGGGGGTACCAGAGAAGAGGCTGGGACTGGCTTCCAGGTGTCCAGTGAATGATAGGGAGGCCTGGGTGGGGGAGGTGGTGGTGACAGACAAGTGGGTGGAGTGTTCAATGGAGATTTGTTGATGCAAAAAGGGAGAGTCTGGGACTTCCAGGAGGAGCAGGGCCTTGAAGGGTGGACAGAATTCAGACTTCAGCGAGGCTGCAGGACCTTGGGAATGGACGGGAAGCCCAACTCTGGCCTTGCAGAGCTCAACCAAGGCCTGCTTGTCCCTCTAAGGTCGCTCTTAGAGCAGCTGAAGAAACTCCAGGCCATCGTTGTCCAGTCCACCAGCAAGTCGGCCCAGACGGGCACCTGCATAGCAGTGAGTCCTGGCCCCCAGTCCCCCTGGCCCATAGGGTACACAGGGTCCTAGGCCTTGGCAGAGGGGCCTGGGGGGAGGGGAGTCCGAGTAGTAGCAGAGCCTCGTGCCCCAGCTCAAGCACAATCCGGTCTTGTGGGCCTCAGTTTCCCTGCCTATGGGAAGAGCGTGCTCATGGGAGAGGGGGAGGGGGTGACCCTGTCCGCATCTCTGCCAGGTCCTGCTGCTGTCCTTTGCCCTTATCATCCTGCCCTCCATCAGCCCTTTCGCCGCCAACAAAGCCGAGAGCCCCGGGGACTTCACACCCGTGCGAGGTAGGTGGGCCCTGCCCTCAAACCCCCTCCTGTGACTGCACCATGGGCACAATCCCCTCGGCTCCCCAAATCACCATCCTGTGCTCCTGGGTAGGGGGAGGAGACCCCTGTGCCACTGTTCCCTAAGGCTGGGGGCTAGAGGATGGACAGGACTCCAGTCCCCACCCTGTTCCGCGTGCCTCCCCCATGTCTGCTTAGTCTTCTCCAGAACTCTGCACAACGATGCTGCATCCCGCGTGGCCCCCGACGCCATGCCAGGCTCCGAGGCCCCGGGACCCTGGCCCGAGGCTGGCACACCCCACGAAAAGCCTCCAGGCAGCCCCGGGTTGGACTGGGGCTTTCGGGACACACCGGACCTGGGCAATTCGACGGGGGAGCTGGACAACTCGACCCTGATCCTGGGCAACATGACGGAGAAGCTGGGCCGAGCCACCCTGCTGGACTGGGTGGCACCCGAGCCAGTGCTCAGCCCGAAACGTGCTGGGATGGAGGCGGCGGGGGACGAGCTGTGAGCAACGCCAGGTCATGCGCCCAGGCCCCTCTGCTATGCAGGGCACTTCGGGGGTGCTGCAGTGGACGGCGTCAAACCCGGGGATTGGAGGTGAGGCGGAGACCCCTGCAGAGGTGCCAGGAGGAAGAAACACAGACTCACAGCGACACACCCAGGGACTGCCTGAGGCCCACGCGGAAATGGACACTCAGACACAGCACAAAGATGTGGTGACAATGCCTGAGAAGCGCACACACTGACCGGGGCGCAGAAGGAAACAGACAAACACACAGCCTGACACGGACCCAGACGGACAGACGGACAGACACAGACCGAACAGAAGCCGCTGCAACTCCGCCGCGGCGGACCTCCCTGCCTCCCTCGCACACTGGGAGAAGGAAGCGGCCCAGACTGCGGGGACCCTGGCCCCGGAGCGCGGGGTGCGCTGCAGACTTCGGGGCGGCCTCGGCCCGCAGCCGCCCCCTTTTCTAAGACTGCCTGATTCTCAATAAAGTATTTTGACAGAGCACTGTTCGGGCTCGGAGGCGGAGTGGAGTGGGTGCGGCGGGGGCTGAAGCGGAGTCTAGGCCTCCCCACACTCTGCCTGGGCGGGGGGAGCGAGGTGCGGGGTCCCCATCCCCGGGCGGGAGCCGCGGCCGCCGAGACGCCGCTTCAGCACCTTGGAGAGCGGCGGGGCGGAGCGCCGGGCGCGCCTGGAGCGCGAGGTCCTGGCGGACTTGGGGGACCCGGGAGGCCCTTTAAAGGTGTCTTCAGAGGAACTGAGGCAGCTGCCTTCCGCGGGGGCCGGGATACCCATCCTGCTCGGTTTAAGGATGAGGAAACGGAGGCCTTGGAAGTGGAGTCACGGCCCAAGGTCACAGCTGGGGAGGGACGGAACCGGTTGCACCTGCGCTCCCCCTAAGGTGTCAACACGACCCCCGCCCGGACCCCGCGGGCCATGCGCTCTCCCTTCAAGGGGCTCACAGCCTAGTAGCGGAGGGCAGATATTGAACAGCAAAAAACCTTGCAAATAAGTTCAGTATATAACTGCAAACTGGAGACTCAGGAAACGCCTGCTTGTATGTCATCACCATCAGACATCGGCCGATCCCTGGAGCTTCCTGGGGGGGTGGGCCCTTGCGCTTCGCTCCCAGGCTGGGGAGGGAGATTGCAATTGAAGCACAGACAGATGTCCCGGAGGGGGCGAGGGGACCACGCATTCCTGCCCCCTTGGTCTAGGACCTGGCACACGTCAGGGATTTAAACACTCTGATGCAACAAGAATGCTCTGTTTTTATTGCATTGAAAACTTTCCTGGAATCCTGGAGGAAGCCGGGTGGCCCCAGCTCTCTCCCTCCAGCCCCAGAGGCAGTGGAAGCCTTTACTGTCTGTCCTGCTGGGAGGTGTGGCTCCCCTTCTGGAGGACCTGTGAAGGCGGCTTTGGGGAGGCAGATCAAGAGCCTGGGAGGGGTTGGCGGTGTGATGGGTCCAGAGAGGAAGACCAGGGGGCAGAGGGAGTTCATTCTTGTTGAGGCTGGAAACCAGGGAGGGCCCAGCCACCACCTCCCCAGAATGTCCTGAGTCAGAGGCTGGGGCATGGTGGGGTGGGGGGAAGCAGGTGTCTGGACTGTCAGCTCCAGGGTGCAGCTCCTTCCCAGGCCCCACCAGAGCTTCCCAGAGCCAAGCGAGACGACATGGAGTGCAAGTTTGACCCGGGGCCCGGAGCACAGCCTCAGTACCCTGAGGTCCCCGGAGGACAGATACAAGTACCAAAGTGATGCCATAAGAAAAGGAGAATCCACGGTTTCTACAAAAAGCCCCACCCTCCCCGAGCACCCTGGTCAGCTGGCAGCAGCCTCAACCTTCATCCTTTTTGGGGGCGTGTGGGGGGCAGGACTGTCCGGCCGCTCCCGTTTGGGGCTGGCAGGTTCTGAGCCGTTGTACTGGGCACAGGGCTTAGCTGTAGGCTCCTGTTTGGGGTCGGCAGGTGCTGAGCCATTGAGCCAGGCAGGGGACTCCTCCCTGGGCTGGAGCTTGGGGGCGGGTGGGCGGGGCAGGGGCGGCAGGGCCCTCTCCAGCAGACGGGGGCCATCCCAGGTGGGGATCTCCAACCCCAGGTGTTTCATGAGCTGGGTCATGACCTCGTCTACATAGCCGTGGATGCGCAGGTCGGCATGGCGGTCCTGTGGGGGTGGGGACAGGTCAGGTGGCAGCAGAGGGAACATGGGGGTCAGGCAGGGTGGACTCAGGCACATACATGTTTGGTGGGCTGAAGGTTGATGATGACCAGTCGGCCTCCCCGGCGCTTGGTGGCGAGTGGCAGGGTCCCACCGGGCCGGGTTTGTAGCGGGGGGCCCAGGGGGCTGGACAGGTGCGCACTCCTG